ATAACATATGCATTTTATTTTGTCATTGGCGTGAAGTGTTTGAAAAGAAATTTGTTCTCAGAAGCAACTCCCAAGTCAGTGCTGAGGGTGATGGGTTTAAAGGGCTTGACATTGTACCATTTGAAGAGCCATTTACAGGTATGTAGGATGTCACATCAATGTTGCGCCAGCTATTTACTCTCCCTTCTCTGTTTTACCCTTCAGTCGTTTTGGACCACTGATCTAATTATGTTGTTGCTGTTGTGTCCATATGTAGAAGTACAGGTTGGGACAGCAATCACGAAAGCAAAGTAATTCAGAACAAAACAAGGATAACGGTGGTAAGTCTGTTATCACTGGCTAAATCTAATTCACGCATCTAGAACTAGAAGTACTGTAGCTCGATCCCTTTTAGTAATTCCCACTTGTCGTGTCTCAATAAAAACCAATTGATCTTTTTTATGTTAAAATCAATTGGTTCTGCAACTGTTAGATTTGAGTTCTGTCCAATTAATTAACTCAATTTTCAATGCAGACCAAGATTGGACATATGATAGTTTAGCCTAATCTAGTTTATGAAGTCAAATGAAGGTGGTGTGTAATGTGTGTTAAGGTTAAAAAATCAAGTTTAGTTTGAATAGGAGGGTAAATTCAGGTACAAATCATCAAGTTGACTTGAGCTTTGAGTAGTGTACTGAATAAACTGAATTCAACTCTGATTATACCTATATACTTGTTCAATTTTGGGTGAATGATGAGTTAACATTTTTTCTTTTCTTTCTATACATTTGCAACAGAATTTGCTCATTTTACTGATTTTCAGATGATGTGTCTATCAACCATTGATCCATTGCACTTTCCTCATTTCAGGAAGTTCATATGTACAGTTCAGTAATCATTCTTCAGGGGCCGTTACCAATTTATCAAGAGGTGATAATGCACAAGGGTTAGTATAGATCTCTTGGTTTTCCTTCCTATTCTTTCTGTTTAGTCAAATAGTTCCATCATATTACTAAGTTAATGTCCAATGAAACAGAGAAATCCAAATTTCAGATGCACTTCAGACTCAGCTTGAAGCACAAAAGAGATTGCACGAACAACTTGAGGTATACACCCTAAAGATTATTGATTCTCCCTTATTTAAGATTATTACGATTTGGGTACTAAGCAAAGCTTACTACCTCATGGTAGAAACCTTTACTCATTGTTGTTGGATTACTCTGTTACAATAGGTTCAACAGAAACTACAGATGAGAATAGAAGCTCAAGGAAAGTACTTGCAAGCAATACTAGAGAAAGCCCAGAAGAGCTTCTCTCTTGATGTTAACTGTTGTGGCAATACAGAAGAAACTAGAGCACAGTTAACAAACTTCAATATGACTTTGTCCACTTTCTTGGATAACATGAATGAAGATAACAAATCTAACGTAGTACAGATGAATGACGTTTTCAAGAAGGTCAATATTGGATCAGAGTTCCAAAATTATAGAATGGGAGAAGGAGCAGGAAACAAAGATGAACATAAGATTAAGGTTGAAGCTGCTGATTCAATAAATTTTGACCTAAACACCAAAGGAAGCTTTGACTTCCTCGCTGGAAATGCAAACGAGTACGAACCAAATATGCTTTCATATAAGAGACGACATTCATAAGCAAATGTTCTTTTTCTTGTTCTACATATGTTTACAAATGAATTTGTTTATCATATGTTTGTATGTAGTTAATACTTGATCTTTTTAATGATAGATATTTCTTCATAGAGAATTTGAAGGTCCTACTTTAAAAGGATGGTTTTGAATTTTTACCATTGACCATTGTATTGCACCCAACATTGAACAAATGACTTAATTGATGGTCCATTGTAAGGTTATTCCTTGACTTACCGTCATGTGAGATTTCTAACTTCACTCAACTATTACACCACTAACACACACACAAGTGTATATATAATTTTAATTATTGAAGGGACGCTGATACGGACACCCAATTTTTACACCCTCCAGTTACACCCAACTCTTTCCGTTATTGTTTCCGTTAATTACATTAACTCCGTTACTGAGAATGAATGATCTTTTGGTTGTGGGAAAGAGGATTTATGGCTGCCGGTGGGGGATGATGAAATTTGGGCCTAAAATCAAAGATTTCTGTTGAGGGATAAATGTTTGATCAGCATAGCAGGTCTGATTACACTTCAAAATTTGTTAATTTCTTCTTGAAGGTTCTTGTTTTTGAAGATGGAAACCAGATTTGTGGGTGCCGCCTTTGTGGTTGCGGTTCTGTTTTGAGCCGTTGGCGACATGGATCTGGTGCGGATTGGTTGTTTCTTGCCGCCGATTATGGTCGTTGGATGTTTCTCGCTGCTGCTCATAGTTGCTGGCTGGATTTCGTTACCGCTGGCTTGATCTCGTTGCAATGTCAAAGTTGATCTCATTGCAACAAGTAAAAGAAGATAAAATATTGGGTGTAACTAATGGAAGAAAAAAAGAGGAAGAAGTAATGGTAACGGAGTTAATGTAATTAATGGAAACAATAACGGAAAGAGTTGGGTGTAACTGAAGGGTATGGAAACATTGGGTAAATATATCATTATCCTTATTGAAGTGGTATGCGCTCAACAAGAGAGCACAAACACATGTAAATCAGCATAAAGCAACCGAGGGAAAACAAAACCTGAAATGGAGAAGCTTGATTATATCCAAGTGCTTATGCATAAATTTTCAAGTAATCTTCCATGCGGATGTACTGAACCTCCGGATAGAGCTTAGACGCCTCTTCAGCTCCTTCTCCTATTTCAAAATTTGTCAAGCAACCTTCATAAAAGACGTGATAGATATGCCCTACCGCCACCTGCTCTGCAAAGTCCAAACCTGCCCGCACCACAAAGAATCAATCATATAACAATATCCACATTAATACCGTAATTAAACTCGTTGCTTCCGCTGGTTCCAACTGGATGACCAAGTTTTGATTTTCTGAGAAGACCACAACCGGCTAATTAATTTCTTATCAGTTCCCTAACCTAGTATATGGGGGACTATTTCCCATTAAAAAAAAAAGTATATGGGGGACTATATATATTGGTGACCTGCAGCCTATAACATGTTGAAAACTGATGCAAAAGTGGTTATTGTCTTTATCTAATTTGTTTTTTAGTTTGTTATTTAGTTTGAATAAGTCTTCCTGATTTTTCTTCAGAGAGTGGGGTAGTTGCTATTTTTTAGGATAGTTTGTTGAGTTAGTTTTGCCTATAATTTCAGTTAGAGAACAATACGTGGGTATCATGTTACAATCCCACTACTTAGAGTTCCAGTATATATTTGTATGTTTTTTCAATGAATTCAAATATTTAGAAAGTTATCTTTTTACTTCTCAATCACTTTGTTATCTATTTCCATTTTTCTGTTCTTCTCCAACAAATTGTGGTATTAGAGCACCAAGTTCGATTGGTGTTTTTGTGAAGTTGAGACCATTGCTGAAGCAAAGGGATCTCAGAAGCTGTAGCTATTTTCATCATGGCCAGCAATTCATATTCATTGAATTTGTCCCAATCCTTGGTACCCATATTCAATGGAGAAAACTATGTTTTTTTGGAGTATTAAAATGAAGACCTTTTTTTTGTCTCACAAGATTTGTGGGATCTTGTGGAGAATGGGTTTGCTGAAACCGAGAAGTCACCAGCAGTAGAGGTGAAAGATCTTCGGAAGAAGGATGCAAATGCATTGCTTGTATTGCAGCAAGTGGTAACTAACTCAATCTTTCCTCGGATTGCAAATGCCACAAAGTCAAAGGAAGCTTGGACCATTCTGAATCAGGAGTTTTATGGAGATGACAAGGTAACAATTGTGAAACTTCAAACTCTGCGTAAAGAATTTGAAAACTTATGCATGAAAGGAAGTGAGTCAATTCAAGATTTCATTAGTAGAGTTTCTGTCATTATTAATCAATTGAAAAATTATGGTGATCAAGTTGATGATCGTAAAGTTGTTGAGAAGGTTTTGAGGTGTCTACCATCTAAGTTCGATCATGTTGTAGTTGCTATTGAAGAGTCAAAGGATTTCTCTGTTTATTCTCTTAATCAATTGATGGGCTCACTTTTAGCACATGAAGAGAGAATGATCAAGTTTGCAGAGAAGAACATGGAGCAAGCCTTTCAAACAAAGGTAGAGATCTCTAGCTAGGAGAAAAATGATCACAGAGGCTCTACTAGTAGAGGAGGAGGTAGAGGAGGCTACCGTGGCCGTGGACGAGGCCAGGGAAGATCAAGCTCAACTCGTCAGAAGTACGAGAATGGACAAAGAGGCAACCAAAAGCAGAATTATAAGTGGAAGCAGTGCCATTTTTGCAAGAAACATGGGCACATAGAGGCAAACTGTTGGGAGAAGGCAAAACAACAAGCAAACTTTGTTGAAGAAAAAGAAGTTGAAGAGAACTTGTTCCTCACTTGTTTAATTCCAAATGTCAACAATTCTAACTTGTGGTTTCTTGATAGTGGATGTAGTAATCATATGACAGGTGTTAGAAGCCTTTGCCGAACTATCGATGAGACAGTGAAGCTGAAAGTTCGGCTTGGAGACAATAAGCAGGTGCAAATTGAAGGCAAGGGAGCAATTGCAATTAGAACCAAGTCAGGTATCGAAAATTTGATTCATGATGTTTATTACATACCTAACTTGGCACATAATTTGCTTAGTGTGGGTCAGTTGGTAGAGAATGGGTATTTGGTTGAATTTCATGATGGCTTGAGTGAAATCAAGTGCAATAAATCTGATATGTCTCTTGCTAAGATTCCCATGGCTAAAAATAAAATGTTTCCACTTGAGATCTCATGTTTGAATGACCTTGCACTTGTTGCAAATGTTAAAGATGACTCCAAGTTATGGCATATGAGATATGAGCATTTGCATTTTAATGGGTTGAAATTGTTGAGTCAGAAAAAGATGGTTTATGGTTTGCCCTCTATTATTCCTATTGATGATGTTTGTGAAGGTTGTGTTTATGGGAAGCAGCATAGAAATGCATTTCCAGTTGGGAAAGCATGGAGAGCAAAGGAGCCTTTGGAGTTAGTACATGCTGACATTTGTGGGTCAATGAAAAATTTGTCTTTGAACAAGAGAAAATATTTTTTATTGTTCACTGACGATTTTTCTCGTATGAGTTGGGTATTTTTTCTTGTTCAGAAGTCAGAAGCTCTTGAAAAATTTCAGGAATTCAAAGCTTTTGCAAAGAAAGAATGTGGCCATCAAATAAAAATTCTTCGAACCGATAGGGGAGGAGAATTTTTATCTAATGAGTTTGGTAGTTTCTGCAAGCAGAATGGGATCAAGAGGCAACTTACTATAAGAAGAACTCCAGAGCAGAACAGGGTTGCTGAAAGGAAAAACAGAACAGTTGTGGAGATGGCAAGGAGCATGTTGAATGAGAAGAAACTTCCACAAACCTTTTGGGCTGAAGCAATTGCTACTGCTGTTCATATTCTCAACATTTCTCCAACAAAGGTAGTGCGAAATATGACTCCATATGAAGCATGGTGGAAACGGAAGCCCAATGTAAGTAGTTTGAGAGTTTTTGGTTGCATTTCTTATGCCATGATAGCTTCTAATGATCGTACAAAGAAGGACCAGAAAAGTGAGAAGTGTATTTTTGTTGGATATAGTTGTGAGTCCAAGGGTTATTGTTTGTATAATCCTATTACTAAGAAGCTGATTATTCGTAGAGATGTTGTTTTTGATGAGAACAGTGCATAGGAGTGGAATGAAGGAAAGATTCAGCACTTGTCATATGAAGAAAGTGAATCCAGTGAGCCACAAGCAGAGGAGACGGAAGTTGGCCAACAATCTTCTCCTACACTAAGTTCTCCAACAATGTCACCACAAGCTGCTCCAACTCCTCAACCTCGAAGGATGTTCACTAGAAGCATGTCTGGTGCCATTCTTAGGAAGGAAAAACCTTGGGAGCAAGTTTATGACCTAGATACTTATGCACTTCTGGTGGCAGAACCTACTTGCTATGATGAGGCATATGGAAAATAGGAATGGGAAAATTCCATGAAGGAGGAGATAGATTTGATTGAGAAGAACAACACTTGGGAGCTTGTAGATAAACCAGAAGGGAAGACTCCAATTGGTGTGAAGTGGGTCTATCGAGTGAAGTATAAAGCATATGGGAGTGTGCAAAAATACAAGGCAAGACTTGTGGCCAAAGGCTATGTGCAGAAACATGGTATTGATTTCCTTGAAACTTTTTCTCTTGTTGCTAGATTTGAGACTGTTAGATTGGTGATAGCATTAGCAGCTCAAATGAAATGGAAGATGTTTCAGTTTGATTTTAAATTTGCTTTCTTGAATGGTTGGTTGGAAGAAGACACTACTGCAGGAATGTAATATTCAGACCGACCAATCGGTCCGTATATATCCCAAATCGGTCTGAACATATATATATCCGGACCGATATTGGTCCTTATAGTTAATCTGAAAAAACCTGGTACGAATAAGTATAATATACAGACCGATGTATAATCGGTCCGTATATATATACTATACGGACCGAAATCGGTCCGTATATTTCAGTAAGAAATATAAAACCTGCACCTATATCCAGACCGGTTTCGGTCCGAACATATTGGACTTGCATGTAACTTTTGAAAGTTCAGCCTCCCAAGAACGCCATTCTCAAACTATATCCAGACCGGTTTCGGTCCGAACATATTGG